GCTTGTAGGTTGAAGGCCATCGCTATTAGGTTGGGAGGCCATCGCTAGTAGGTTGGAGGCCATCGCTTGTAGGTTGGAGGCCATCGCTCTTAGGTTCGAGGCTATCGCTATTAGGTTCGGAGGCCATCGCTATTGGGTTGGAGGCCATCGCTCTTAGGTTCCTTTTGCTAGTATGTTTAGTTTTGTGCCTTGTGTTTTCTTAGAAGGTTTGTGCCGATGTGCAGTTGTCCAGGTCTTCACTCTTTTCGGCTGCCTTTTCACCATGATTTGTGCCTTGGCTAACAAATCTTGCGCTCAGACTTTTGTGCGACATCAAGACATGTGTTATCATGTGTTGTATGTATCATGATGTATCATGTTCAGTTCTGACCTGGACTTGAGATTTTTCAGGCTGCGCTGCCTTCACCTTTTTCTTGACCACCTCTGAGACCTTTGCAGCTCCAGATTCTGTGCAGAAGTCTCAGAGAAAGTAAACACACAGATTGAAACTAATGTTTAAACACCGAAATCCAATGAATTAAGTTGTAAGTTGCTGGTTATTTTTGTCAAGTTGGCAGGTTCTTCGTCGATGCCCCAGTGGCAGTGGCCGTTGCGGGAGGAATCATTGGTGGAATCGTTTCATTGTGTCTTGGAGCAATTCGGCAGTCTTTCCTGTTGGTTTTTGTCTATTGTTTCTTTACTTTAAAGTTGTTTTTCTTAAGGGGGGTAGGCCGCGAAGTAGGAGGTGATAGCTAACAAGCATAGATAAGTAAGTAAGAGGTAGGTAAAGCTCCTAACTACCGGATGCAGGAAACCTCACGCTTCCTAAAGGAAACTCCTTTGGCCTAAGGGTGGGGGGGCTTCCTTGAAGAAGCGCTCACACTATTCATGTGGTTCCTATATAATTGGGGAAACTTGCTATATATAGATGACGGTGAAATAGATGATTGAATGAGAAGGGAGAGGATGGTCAACAGGGAGCTCTCGCCAATCCAATTATCGCATATTATCACCTTGAAGGCCGCCATCGCTAGTGGGTTGGAGGCCAATCGCTACTAGGTTGGAGGCCATTCCTATTAGGTTGGAGGCCATCGCTGTTAGGTTGAAGGCCATCGCTATTAGGTTGTTGGAGACCATCCATCGCTATTAGCTTGTTGGAGGCCATCGCCATTTGGTTGGACGCCGCTATGAGGTTGGAGGCCATCACTATTACCTTGGAGGCCTCCGCTTTTAGGCTGGAGGCCATCGCTAGTAGGTTGGAGGCCATCGCTAGTAGGTTGGAGGCCAGTGCTTTTAGGTTTGGGGTTATCGCTGATTGGGTGGAGGCCATTGCTTTAAGTTGGAGGTCATCGCTATTAGGTTGGAGGCATTTGGCTGGAGGCTATCGCTATTAGTGACTCTAATAAAGAAGATTGCTTTTTTACAGGATCGGAAGTTCAACAGGTGGATTTCATCCCACCTGTGCAAGTGATTTGAATGTGAAAGGCCTGTTCGATCCCGCTGGTTCGATCAGATCACAACCAAGCATCACGTGCCCACTGTCATTGTGAGTTCCAGTTCTGCAACGCGAGGATGTTCTGCAAATACTGCAGGAAGATATGAAAAGATTCTAATTAAATTATTCTTGTTACTACTAGTAAGGCACTTGTTCCTAATAGCTGAAAGCTATCGAGGTTTTTACCTCAATGACTGGATGGCTGGTCGGCCTTTTTCTCCCCACGCGAAGAGGTGTTGGATCCACTCACGGTCACTGGAAGCTCCCATGGACTTTTTGGTCGGTGCATTGTGCCTCTGTCTCTAGGGTTAGTTGCTATTTGGGGTCTATGCGGGTGATTTTTTGTGATTGAGGCTGGTCCGTGTTCCACTTATGTCTTTATGATGCTGTTCTGAGGTATCATTGGCGGTATGACTTTGACTTTTGCTTTCACCTTTTCACATATTTCATGAATATCTGAAAAAAGTCACCGTTAAAACCATACAAAACCATAAAAAACATAAAAAGAAACCTGATTAAAACGGTTGATTTCTAGCAGCCTCGCACTCACAAGAGAAACCACCAGATACGACGAAAAAGACGAGGCGGAAGATCTAGGTAGCTAGTAATTAGTAGCTTTTTCGCGCGCTCGCGGGGGTGTTAGGCCGCAGAGGTCGCTAGGTAGCTAGTAGCTGAAATAGCTACTACTTAGGGCGCAGGATGAAGAGGCGCTTGCACTAATGATTGGGAAACTTAACTAGTAGCTGTGATAAGATTTATAGTTTCTTGTTACTACTAGTAAGGCACCTGTTACTACTAGCGTGGCACTTGTTACTACTAGCTTCTTGTTACTTTATCATGAATGTCGATGTTTAAAGGCGGATTTATCAAGTCCTGGCTAAACTGATGTGTATCATGTATCATCTATCTCCTTGCTTTTCTAGCGCTCCAATCCCAATCACTGTAGATATGTGTCAAGGCCCGTTAACATCTTAAAGTATTTGTCCCTCTTCCTAAGTAAGTGTGTTTGTTGTCCTTCCTTGCTTAGTTTGCTCATGTTTGTTCCAATCTTGTTGGATTTGTGAGGTCTAATGCAGTGAGTACAGCAAAAAAGTTTCACAAGCATCCGTCTTAAAGGCTGCATGCAAGCATGTTCCGAATCACAATCCAAACACAATAAAAGGAAGAAACGTCAGTCGAAGGTCTTTGGAGGTGAACGGACTCAGCACCCACACGGCGCCAACCGTTTGTAGCTTCTAACTTCTAACTACTACGTAGCTACTACGTAGCTACTACTAGCTACCGGCTAGCTACTCATGAGAATTCCAATTCGTATCCGATTCGCAATCCCGTCGGGTCGGCCGCTCCCGAGGTGTTTCATGACAGTCCTAGATATGTCAACGGATGCACTCCTCTACTATTACGGCCCAGACCTCAGCACGTTTTGGATGAACCCGACACCGAATGCTTAATTTGGCTAAGGCCCTTAAGGCTATGCTTGTTCAAAAGGATTGAAGATGAAGTTTCTTCGGGATTGCGCAGTTTTTCTTAGCTACTCCAGGTCCTATTCTTGCAGAATATTACCTAGAAGACCGAAGAAAGCTTTCATGATTCCCCTTTTGGTTTTCTAGGTTGCTTTCCTATTCTGCTTGTAAAGGCCCCGGGAAGGGAAATTTTGAGACTAGATTGACTAGATTTGAGCACGACAGTGTTTCTTCGGGAAAATCGCCGACTGGTGCCAAAAATAAATTCCCGAATATTATGGTGCAAAACAGCTAGGAAACTACATGAGCTACAAGAAGCTGCTGGCTGGATAAGTGTACTGTTTGCTTGCTCAATCACCTGTCTTGGCATGCTCAGGGATCGCGTTTCTTTGTTGGACCCTAATGGCAAAATAGATTTTCTGTGCTCCAGAGGTTGTTTGAGCTCTGGAGGGGAATCATGTAAGCTTTGGTTAACAACCTGGAAAAGGAAAGCAACCGAGTTTGATGGTCTTCCAAATTGAAGAAAACAACCGAGAATGCTATGAAACATAAATTTTGGCCAAAAATGGCTCCTATTCTGGAAGTGGCGCATATGAGGCCTCGACTGGAATGACAACAAAAGAGGTCATGACAGCAACGCGCCCAATAGCATCAAGGTGCCCGGATCTATCGAATCCACGGATTCTGATGAACTTGGCAATCCGAACTTCAGCAATTTGCTGCAAAATTAGACTTTCTGAATTTTGCTCATCCCGCTTTTCAGGAGCTTGTCCATGGTGACCGGCGCTAGTGGGCTAGCGATATGTTGAGCCCAAAGGGTTCGTACCATAACGGGCTGATGGGCCCAGTTGCCAATGCTTTCAAACATGTAGACGCTTGAGACGTGTCATTTCTGAAAAGAACGCATGTAGGGGCTTAAAAGCATATGACCAGAAACCAAGCCGTGCCACATGCATATTTATGTTATTTTCTGAATCCGACCGCTCCCCCCGCTGGGTTCGATATGGTTTGCAGGAAGCTGAGGGCGGAACTCGCACTGCCTCGCTGTAGCACATTCCTGGCCTCTATTTGCCACTTGCACCTGCGTGCTTGTTTAATGGACCGACTATCCAACTACCGGCACAGCTGGTAACGTACGTTTTCTGCAGATTTGTTTGACCCAAATGTGACTCGACATGTGGGCTTGGCGGGTGTTGAACGAGAGTTTGATGCGATGCTGGAGGTTTGGTTTGCTGCTGGTGGCAAACTGCAGCAAAAGCCTTTCGCACGAGGGGGTGTGGAGTGCTCCAGCCACGCCAAGCCACACCAAGTGGGGACCGTATCCTGGACTACGGGGGCCCGAAAGCGCAGAAAACGCATACGCAGCTGCACATCCAAGCATGTTGCTACAGCAGCTTGGGATACAGAAGTGGCGCTTCAAGACACGAAGAGATCCTGAATCTTCCAGCTCTTGTCTTTTCCTTCCTCAGGCAACGCCAGCACATGGATGACATGCTCACCACACTTGCTTGCAAGTGTGACAGGTGAGGTGGGCAAGAGGGCCTTTGTTTCAAGCAGAACTTGCTCAAGGTGTCCCCTATCTTTGCGCAGCCGGCTTGCAACGTTGGCGGCCAAATCGCACGCGGAAAGCCAAAATTACCCATCACTCGCGCCTGATTGTTCACCACGTTTTGCACAGGTTCTTGTTCCTTGTGGTCAGCTGAATCTGCCACCTCCACAAGTCCACCCCTTGACTCTTTGACAGACTGACTTAAGTGCACAGCTCATACACAAAGCCCTTGACGCAGGCATTGCTTGTGTCGGCTGGCCTTCTGCCAGCACCTTGCAATGTTCAGCGATGGTCATTGCTTCGGGTGCGCTTGACAGAGTCATGGTCGGAGGAGACCATAATGGAGAAGAAGTAGGGCTTGGAGCGTGAAAAACAAAGTCCTGTTCGTTCCACGTTCCCGGGTCTTACCAGATGAGCTAGCCAAGTTTAGCGCAAATTTTTCGCCTCGCAGTGCGTCAGAGACCTGACGCCTAAGAACATACAGTGTGAGAAGGTTTGTTTTGTTCATCGTAGCCAAACGAATGATTGCATTGATCCGTACAGATGATTACCCAGTGCCACTTGTGAACATCGAAAAATAAGCTCTCCCCACGCGCCCCCCATAGGGACACAGTGGGGTGGAGGATTGTAAGATGAGTTTTTTGGCCGCAATTACACGAACATCTTCAAAGCGGGGTCTTCTTGAGTCGCCACGCCTGTTTTTATGGATACCGGGTACCCTGTTCTTTTGTTTGTTCATTTGACTGTTGTTTGGCTGCTTTTCCTTCAAAAAACTTTTGGTGCTTCAGCAGCTTTGCGCCGCGGCGCGCCAAAGCTTGAAGCCGTTATGGAGCAAAGCCTCCACAGGCACAGCGAAGACATGCGAAGGCGATAAAAGGCAGAAGGGAAGTCACACATCGCCGCGCGCAAGTTCTAGTTTTGAGGGTCTTTCATGATTTTACACGCGCGCGCGTCATGTTGCAGCTGGAGTGTCGAGCCGAGACGCGCAATTTGGAAGGTTCAGGTGTCCATGTGCTTGATAGCATACAGATGCAGACTAGCATTCGGGCACAACCATTGCAGACATTTCGAAAATTCAGTGAACCCAAATGTGAAGTTGGCGCCACATGGTGACTTTTAAGTCCAAATGATTTTGCAAACGGAAGTGTCAATGTGTCAACAATTTTGTTGGTAAGCAAGGCTTTATGTTCCACTATATTAACCCCATATTCAGGGGCATTATTTGCTGAATGACTTAATCGCGGTCGGC